ATGTCCACCAGTATTCTCCAAAGAGACCCATTTTCTCGAAAGCCAAGTTTTTTCGCAACATCTGCGTCCATTTGGTGGTCCTAATAATCATAAAAAGGTCGATAAAACAACTACAGCACATTTTCACACTGCTATAGCTGCACTTTTGCACGTGTGGTTTGGTAGGAAATATTTCACACCATAAAAAAAGCCATCGAATGTCGAGAGCATACAAATTTGTACGTTTATTGATGTCGAGGGCGGCCAAAGGGTTTTTTTAGGAACTTTCGGGGCTATTTCCTCTTTGCACTGTGATAGACCTGTCTTATTCTAGGCTGAAGGCACGTGTACCTTTGATTCAACTTGATTGGCGGCTGGAAGGCGGGGCTTCGTAACCTAATTAAGGCTAGAAAATGAGCAGAGAGCACGTTCGCGGGGGGAACGCAGACTGCGTCACGGACGCGAGCGGTCGCCTTCCAGCCACTAATTTCGTTGGATCAAAGGGTATGTTATAAAATGAATCTGTGCTTGTTCCTTCTTCCCCCCCCCCCCCTCCCCTCCCTACCTCTTCAAGTTAACTCTAGCTTTTTCCCAGTTTTTGAGTCAAACGCCCCCCCCCCTTTTTTTTTCAAAGAAAGTGACGCGAAGCCGAAGTATTTCAACATTTTCTTTTCTCATGTCGCTAAGCACAACCTTCACGCTTGGATTAACTTGGAATATCTAGGGAGTTTGAATAAAACCACTGAGAGATAAGTTTTTTTGTACTCATTATCAGCTCTCTTACTTGTAATGGTTGTGGGCGCGAAATGGCGCGAAAAAACAAAAATTCTCCCACCTCCTTTTCTTTGTGTTTGTATAAATTTAATCATGTGGTCATTCGCATATTTGAATTTGAGCTCATTGTTTCGGTTTGTTTATTTTTTCGCGCACTTCTAAGGCCCAAGGCATACCTCACGCAATTTCAGTCGCCACCCGCGATCTGGCAATTTGCCAGATGTCTTCGAATTTGATACTGATAGACCCCAAAGGCACAGCACATATAACTTTCGTAGGTTAATAGAATGCCTCATCTTTCATACATCCAAAAATCCCTTACGATGAGTTATGACCAACTGGAGTATTGCCAAATCGCTTCGCGACTGAAATCGCGTGAGGTATGTTTTCGGCCTAGGTGTACTCAAATCAATAAATAAAATAAATTGAGTTACATTTCACAAATTTTAGCTTCCTTAATCAAGTTTGAGTACAAGTACAAGTTTCAAGTACAAGTTTGAGTTTTTTCTTACTGACTTTTTTTGTACTACTGACTTATCTTACTGGCTTACTTTGTATAATATGTATTGGGAAACTCATATTTATCTGCTTTCGTGGAAGCTCCACCCGCCTTCTGCAGACTTTAGAATTTTTCGAAGCAAATCATACGTATTACGTATTCACTACTTCAAAAGTGCATCATTCCTTCGCCTTCGAAGTGGGGCGAAAAAACCGCTCAACAGCCGAAAAACTCATTTCAAGCCCATGGACGCAGCTAATTGCGGCATGCTCATGCAGCTCGCTTTCGTTCATCCTCCTAGGTCTTCGTCATTTTCTCATAAGTTCCTTTTATGTAAATGGCCAGTTTGAGGAATAGTGTTGAAATGTAGATCACAAGCGTACCTCCCTAATTTTGAATAAAGAAGTTGCGCAGTTGGAGAATTTAGCTCATACATGAAACTCAGGCAAGAAGAGGAGTAAAGTAATGCTTCAGACTTAGTTCGTAAAGGTTTCTGTAGCAATAGAAAATAGATTCAGAAGCTGTAGCGCACAATAGAGCGCGAAAATCAGTTGCTTGAACGTTTTTTTGTTTGTTTTTTTAAATTGTTGGAGGTCTCTATGTATTGAGATTGGATAGGATGTAAAGAAAAGACAACAGCCTAATCACCTAACACTCCTTGTGTGTCTCTCGAATACGTGATGTTAAGGTGACCAAAATTAAAGTAGTATAGTAAAACTATAAGTCCAGATCACTGGAATAACGCGAAGTACCCAAGACGTTACTCTTTCTTTGTGATTGAGACTACGTAATGTAAGGCTTACTATACAAGGTTTCCCAGAAGTACGTATACACTGTTTGATCGTTGATTTCTCTTTTCCGAAGAAGTCTTTGGCCACCTTCAGATACCATTCTGTAGAGCTGGCTTCAACTTAGATTTACAGTATAAAGCGAATCACCTATCATTCATCATTACTTTATGATTGTGGTATGAACTTCTGGCTTAAGCGTCCTTGTGGACCAATCGTGTTTCAAAGAAAGGTTTCAAAAATTCCAAAAAGTGGTGTATCAGGGACATTACGCGTCCTGATTTCACCACTCAGCTTTTCAAGAGTTTGTTCAGTTTTTCAAAGAGTGTAACAATAATTTTAGGGAACGTTGTAAAGACAGCTATTGCAGTATACCTGCCAAAGTTTTGAAGGAAGCATCGCGTTAAAATGCAGAGTTCGTATTTGGTTTAGCGACTTCATTTAGCTTAGTGTAAGAGTTTCCAGGTTGTTTGGTTTGCTTTCTGAGCCGAAACGGGACCGTCAATGGCTCAAAACGCTTCTTGAAGTTCCTACCGTAATTCTACAGCAATGAAGAAAGATCTAAGTTGAAGCCAGCTCTACAATATGGTACCTGAAGTTGGGCAAAAGACACTAAGGGAAGAGAGATATTTTCGATCAAACAGTGTATATATACTTTAGGGACACTCTGTAATGCTGTATCCCAATGTAGAATACAGGAGATTCGAAGATTAGTAATCTGCAGTGTCGACCACAAAAATGCGGATACAGATGCCATGTTCGTAGGCGAAAATATTCGTGCGTAAAATTTGCCATATAGCTCACTTTTTTTTCAAGTTTTACGGCTTATGCCATTTTTCACGCGCAAACTTTTTTGGCATCCCAAGGACACAATATAAGCCGTTGGTTATTCAACTGTAGCTACAGAGTTCTCGATATGAAATTAATTGCCGTACAATTTACGTGTTACCAAGCATTAGGTCGTCCCAAAATTTCGTTTGCACCATTTTTAAAAATTCACAAACTCCTATACTCTCGAAGAGTTTGCACACATTTTTAAAAAGAAGAATGGGCTTTACAACAGCACCTGAATGACCGCCTATCATATAGAGTGCAGAGACATAAGCTGTAGAAGAGTATTATTGAAATTCTGAGTTTTCCGTATAGAGTTGTAAAAAATCTGAAATTTGTCCTAATAATCGCAGCAAGTGGTATTATAGGTTTTATAACCTGGTTCTTTTTTAGCAATGTTCTGATTAAGCTCTTCTTTGAAAATTCATGAGTGAGCGAGAAATACAAAACGATAAATTTGATCGTTTCTACATATTCTCAAAAATCATAACTTTCGATAGAAATGCTCAATCTACACAAACTTCCTCCAGATAGCGGGAGCAAGTCATACGATTTATAGTACTAACTACTTCGGTTTCTAGCGCAAGTTGCGGATTTTTAACGACTCGATTCAGAAAAATCAGAGTCGAGCAATTTTCTTCTACAGCTTATATTTGTGCATGTATGCCTAGTAGGAGGGTTTTTAAGAGCTGTTACAAAGTGCATGATCCTCTTTTTTCGAAAATCAATTCCATGCAAGTTCTTCGAAATGAGAACTTGTAAATTTTTAAAATGGGTGCGAACGAACTTTTGGGACGACATAGATGCGATAATAAAATATCGGAAACTTACTTTGTAGGTTCTAATTTTTTAATTATGGTCAGGTTACCGCACGCAGAGGATGGATGCCAGTGCAGAAAATGTCAGCGTCTCCTACTTCTCCTACCGTCTGCTGTCTCGCCCGACACAAACTATTTCGATTGGACGCAATGGCGTCCATTCTCTGCGTGCGATGACTCGCCTATGAATTCTTTAGAGTACACTTTTAATTTATTTTCTGTTTTCACAAATTTCGCAGAATCACCTTACATATCTGTTTATGAACACGTATTTTTTCAATCTTTCACCTCCCCGCGCATGTTCCATTTCTGACCGTCCACTCTGGCTCGTTCATATCGTCTTCAATCTTGCTCTCCGCATGCAAAGCACTTGTCATATCGCTCTCACTCGCTCATGTCGCCCCTTGAGAATATGTCAGCAATTTGACGCAACGTCCGAATCGTCCACCCTCTCTCCGTTCATAGTCTTTACCACCCCGGCCGTTATCCCATGGCCAGAAGTGCATGACGCTTAGACACTAAGCCCGGTCGGGTTCTAGCCATTGGGCACCACTGTTGTCTCTCGCTCTGTGCGGCTCTAACCGCTCGAAATTAATCCATTTGTTATGAAATGCGGCTAATTAATGACGATTATTAGGTATTAGTGCATGCTCGCTTTGCATGAACCACATATCTCATAAATAGGCGGTTTTGTTCTTTCTCTGGCTATATGCAGCGAAATGGGATTGATGTTTTATGGTTGCTAATCTTCACTTTTTATCTAATGCGATGATTGTCTCAGAAACAGGGCTGGGCACGAGGTGGCTTTTGGAAAATGCAAAAAACGAAGTCCTTGACTTTTCCAGAATTTTACGAAGTCCCCTTTGACCCAAACCATATTCCTAAAGCAATCTCCAGAAAACGAAACGTTGACCAATAAAACGTCGCAAATTTTGTGTCTTTTCGCCCACAAAAACGAAACCCCTTTGCTTTTTGTCCCAAAAAAGATATCCAGCTTGCTTACCAGGCCGCCTTTGCCGAGCCCTGCGCAAAAAGCTTTTTTCTGCTATCTTTTGTTTATGTGGTCTGTTTTGAATTTCAAAAAAGCCGAAATCAATATAAATTCATATTTTCCCCTCTAAGGCTGCATCCGGAGTCGACTGTGCCGCTAATTCAGTTTTCATCTTATCCCATCTCGAAGACTAATTCTTTGAACCACTTCTTATTCGTTCGTCTCCTTCGAACAGAAAATTTGCTCAACTTTATTTTGCTTATGATAGGATAGTAGGTGGTGCGCCTTCCTTTTTTATTTTTCTCTTTTGATTATGAGGTATGGGGACTTTTGTAATTATCGATACGTTGCTCATGGTAATTCTAAGGCTGTATCCAAAGCACGACGGCGGCACGGACGATTTGGACGCAAAGTAGGCGAAACTGTGGTTTTTTTCCCATTTTCCGTTATAATTTTTACTTTCTGGCAAATTTCGTTTTTTGTGGTGCAATAGCATAGGCGCTTTCTTTGTGGTCAAATGATCTAAAATGTTTTGAGAACTCTGCAGTAGCACATAAATGATGATTTAGAACTAAGCATGAGTTAAAGACTTGAAATTCTAGTAATCATTTTTATATCATTGTTAAATATAATATCTTGCTTCTATGTCATTTGTATAAATAGGTGGCCCAAACACCACGAATTATGAATCTTTTCTGCCAAGTTTTTCACAATGGAGACAATAAGAAAAAAGACTTTCAGCCTTATGACTTACATTTGTACAGACTTTTAAAAGTATACAAAAACGCATTTGAGAGAATTTTCCACAAGAAAATTAGAAATAGGTGCAAACCGTTATATTTTGTACCTGCGGTGCAGACAACATATGCGCGTGAGAAATTGCAAAAAAAGTTGAGCATACACATCCAGGGTATTCTGTGTTTTTCAGCACTATCATTTATTTTCTCATTTTTGAATTATTACTTTGTTTCAAAATAGAAGTATGATAAAATGTTATCACTGACCGCTGAACGAATTATATGATACTTAAATTCAATAATGTAACGGGTTTGTCTGGGGTTCTGTTTCTTTTTTCTTCTTGCAAAAAAAATTATGTTCACTTTTATCTCATTACTCTTCTTTTCTGAAGCGTCAACACCTGAAAATGAGAGCATATCCTAGATTGCTGAGGGCGCTATCGACATCGAATTACACAATCCGTGGGAATTTACGCCCAATTGTTGCACACGTCGTAGGTGCACTAATACTGTGTAAATCTATAGGCTAGGTTGTGCAATTGCACAAAGTACAAATCGAGTGTGAGTCCTAGCACGTTCTAACCCTTTTCACAAGCCCACTTGACGAACAACTCCTAAGGGATTACTGCGCTGGTTTTGAGCGTCCTTTGAAATGTAACACCAATCTGACGTCAATAGTACAAATTTCCATATGCACAGCTTAGGCGAGAGCATCGATAACCGGAAATCGGAATTTTTTTGCACACCTTCGAGGACTTAAATGTATCCAAGGTGATATTTCTCCTAGGCGAAGCTTGAGCGGGTTAATGGCACGTTTTGCACGACGGCTACACCTGTACCTTGCACACACCTGTCCTTTTGGGGGCCCAGTTAGGAGTATTTTGCAGTAGTTTGGAGCTGGCCGAGTTTACTCAAAGGTGTTAAGGGCTCGTATTACAATTCGAGCGCCGGAATCAATATATAGAGGCTAGCTGTCCACGTGCATCAAGCTGAAATTGAATTGCTGCGATTTCGTTTGATGGATCGCGTGCGACCTCTCTCCAGAAGCAAGCGCAAGCGGTGCCAGATCGACAACTCGCGCGCGAACTCATGGCGCGAACTTCATTTTTTTCAAAGTGCTTTCCAATTGGGGCGTCTTTTTGCGCCTGTGTGCTTGCAAATGCTCCAGTTTTCACTTCTGAGGTTTGAAAAAACCTTTTCCCGACCATGCCAAGAGTTTTCTCTCCTTGTCTGCTCTCATGCATAGTTTGCCTGCATTCTGCCAGAATTTCACATCCCCATTTATATCTACTGTACTTTGAATGTTCATGAATACTTTCTTTTCCCCTTTGATATTAGCCAAGGATAAAAGAAGAAAAAAGTCCGGTAGATTTATGTATGTGTATGTGTCTTTTTACGCGTATGTGTGCACCTGCAGTGTCAACTACACTTACGCGTAAAAAGCGGCCTTAGACGCACATCTTCAAGTTTTGCGCTCCGTCGCTATTTTTCGAGCGCAGTTGCTTCTTCGCCGCAAGTCCCGTAATAATGGAAACAGAATTTCAAATTTATGCTTCTGACTAAATTTTTGGAATCGATATTATCAGAAAAAGCAACATTCTAAATGTTAATTTTGATTGTATTTGAAGATAATCACATGCGATACAGTAAAGCTGATAACGCTGAAATTGCGGACAGCACCGCCACGCGTTTTTGCTGCGTACTGGCTCGAACTAGAGCTTTATCTAGAGCAAATTGGGCAACGTTTTGCAAATCTCTCTTGTATCCATTTCGTTTTAAATCTGATAATTTTAATTCGACATAATCACCGATTTTTCCAACTGTTGCGCGGAAAAAAAGCCAGAAAACATACATTTTCTTTACGCCCATTGCTGTTTTTCCCGTAAGTGTTGTCAACACGCAATGGCACCGCAGTGACACCGCAATAACCTTTAAATGGGCTCATTTCTACTCAGTTTCTTTGGCTTTTGATTCCTTATTTTTCAAATATAAGAATTTTTTTCTTGAACGAAAATTGTAAAAAATTTCCGAATGCTTGAGTTGAACGTTTACTCAAAGCCCTACTAAATCTTTGTAATGTGACACCTCAGTTGGCAGAGTATAGCAGCGGTCTTATACCATAGATTTATTATTCTCTGCTAGACGCACTTTTTCGAGAGTCGGATGTACGCCCGATAGAGCTTTATGGATGTTCCCGGATTACATGCTCTTTCTATGGTTTTCTGCAAAAATAATCTTGCAGGGAATAATAGCAGGGGATTAGTCTTTTGTTCGCGGGTTCAGTCTGAGATAATCACATGCATAGTCTTGAAATGTGAAAGTTGACTGAATTCGTGCAAAAAGAAAATTCCTTGTTCGGGCATACTTTGAGAAATTCGGGCATTCTTTGCAAAAATTCGGGCATTCTTTGAGACTTGCTTCTTGTTTGTTTGAGTTTCCTAATTTTTTCTGGAAGTTTTCTGTGCAAAGTTTTCTCATTTTTCCTCCAACTGGACGTATTTTTGACGCTTAGAGGAAAATAAGTCATTTATCCCATCATTTTGACTTTTTGTGTAGCTACACTCATAACGTCTTATCGAGCTAAAACGCTTTGCTAATGAAGTGAAATCATCGCATTTGAATATGGAGTCTAATCCTATAATCGATATGAGAATCTTATGAAAATACATTGAATGTGCTAATCGAGCTCTTATAGTTCCTTTGAATTCCTTCTGATGTTGGGGAAAAGTTCAGCCGCCATTTGAAATCAAGAAAAAAGTTTTTCGCTGCTATGTTTCAAGCTACAAATTTTTTTTCAAAGATTTATCGTCGAGTTATAACTCACTGTATGCGTTGCACACCATGCGCGTTACTTTACGACTTTTACGATTGAACTCTGCTAATTTGTGTGATTTCATTTGCTTCTTATCCTTTTCATTTTAACTGGATATATCTTAGGTATTTTCCACAATTCTACAGTTTTGGCTGGAAAAGCTTTTACTGACGGATTACTAGTAAGGTGTCGTCAGTTGCGGCGCGGAACGTGCAGGCTCACATATTAAGTTACAAATAACTATCACACAGCAATCCTTACGCGGTATTTTATTGCGTTCAAAGATTATCCCAAAATTCACGAAAAATGTTCTGCTGCGTATAAAACCGCTCAAATGACGCTTGTTGGAATGACATGACCGTAATTCCTACTGTATCCGCGCGTCTCACCAGATGTCTGTCTCGTCCAAATCTTTTGAGCAAGGGCTGGCCACCCCTTCTCCTTTCATCTACGCATTCATTCATCCATCTATCCTTCCATCTAGCCACAGCCAGCCTCACATACCACACCCACAGCCACAGCTTTGTATTGATCTCGGAAAGCGCGATCGATACTTGGCAGGGTGCCCGTGTGTGTGTGTAGTGCCGTGTTCTGGAGGCTATTGGTGTGCTTTCTATACATAGACATTTAGCCTCTTTATTCTTTTCAATTACAGGCAAAACACAGCACCGCCCGTTGCACGTCGTCTATGGCCGCTCAGCCAGGTTTGTTTATGTTTACTTTGGCGAGATTTTGGTTTTGAAGCATCGTTTCGCGACTTTCGCAATAGTCGCAAACTCTTCTTCTATTTCTGGTTGAAATTTAGCTTTCACATCACTTATTTCACATCCCTCTCAATCTAACTCTGTTCACTTAGTCAAATAAAGTGAATAAATAAATAACAAAGGCAAAATCGCCTTCCACTCAACTGTGAGAAAACCAACTCCCTAATTTCTTCGTAATTTCGCTTTCTTATTGAACGTGTGATTTCTTCATTGAGCTTCTCCATTTTTTGAAGGTTTACTTTGCATTTTCTTTTTTTTTGGTGAATTGCAGGTTTTGGTCTCTCTCTCTCTCTCTCTCTCTCTACATTGTAAACCTCTTTAATTCTACTTGAGAGTTGGGCATACATCACACGATTTCATCGCTTGGCGATTCTTTCAATAAGACAACTGATACAAGTTCATTGCATGCCGATCGTTTTGTATTCCGGTTGGTAGATTTTACGAAGCGACCAATCATGACTAACTATCACAATCGAAATGGAAGATGACTGGCATGCAATGCTGTTGTAACAGTTGTCTTATTGGAAGAATCGCGATGCGATGAATTCGCGTGATGTATGCCTGGCCCTTCACAGTGTTATGCTTATTTTTAGTGCAAAATATAGCACTGAGCATTTTTTGGATCTAACGGGGTATGTTGTTACTGAAATCCGTTATTTTGTGTGTTGGCATATGATTATTTCGCTTTTCTGTCGTTTTTTCTTGCGTTATAGAAAAATTGCATGCGCTAATGTACAATTTCTAACCGATTCTCTATTTTTCTCACTTTTGCTTTTTCTTCCAGAGAATTTTTGGCAGTATATCGACGTTCTACTTTCATCTTTTTTCAATTTCTGGCTTCTTTTTCTCGAAGTAGCTTTGTATTTATGATTTTGGGATAATCGCTGAACACTGTATCATCTTACGATGCAACATGCAGTAAATTTTGTTTCCTTGATACAGGCACCGATCATTGGTTTACGTCTTGCTTGAGACCACATAAAATAATCACTCATTAATCAACCAATAACGGGGTCATTTAGGGTGTAACCAGCTGAAAATAACTAATGATTTAGGCGGCGGTCGACTACCGGACGATGTGTACCGTAAAATTCGAGCGGTTGATCAAGGGACGAGTACACTTACACAAGCTGGACTACAAGGTCTCAGTGCTAGGATATTAGATAAGTTAGTATTTTTCATTGCCTTTGTCACTTTTCTTGCCCACATTTTATTGTACTTGTGGCTTTTATCACTCATTTTGTAATTTCATTTCCTAAAGGTTTAGACCATAAACCCTTTGGGAACTTCACGTGTTTTCAAAGATTTGCTAACATCACACAACGGTCAAGGTTATTTTATTCGAGGGCTACTGTCCACGGTCGCGCGAAAACAATTCTTGAGTCCTACAGCACTTGATTTGAGTTTCCAAAAAATTCCAATCGATTGGTGTCTTGCATATTTCACTTCTATACTTTGACAAGCTTTCTAATCACCAGCTAACCGTCCCTTTACTGTTCTGAGAATATGTTTTCCTCTTTTGTTCTCAATGAGTGTTATTCAGATCTGACACGAGGTATCCGAATTCTGCTGAGATTTACACGCAGCAATTGATAGAGATTATCAAAAAGCCTGGTCAGTCGCTCGGCCTGTATCTTAGGGAAGGCAATGGCATTGATAGGAGCCATGGTGTATTTGCCAGTCGCTTTGGCGAAAACTCCGAGTTGGAAAAGTAAGTGTTCTCTGGCTTTATTTACTTTTATGACTGTGCATGCTAATGGTTCGGTTTGTTATCTATGGCGACCTCTCCATTTTAATCTCAAAAATCCTTGTATTCTAATCCTTCTCTTTTGGAGGATGTTCAAGACTCCTTAAATGATTCCTTTGCCGTTTTTCAAAGTCCAGGTGATAAATTTTCAAGTGGCTTTGCGCAATAGTGTAATTTTTCTGGACTTTATGAAGCAAAGGTTGAGGCAGTTTTCTGCCATTGAGTTACATTTCCTGCGGTACATTTTTGACTCAACACAGCTCTTGCAGTTCGTACCAGAGTAAGACAAGATCAGCGGAGATCAAAAAAAAATCCACGCTCCTGCAGTTTTAACCCTCCCTATTTTTTCTCTAAAGTCCGTTGTTTAGGTTGCTGGTAGAACATACTGTTTGAGCTACCTACCTCATTTTGTCTTTTACCGGGTGTAAAATCCCATGTTTCTGAATTTTGCGATCACTTGGCCTCATACTTAAGCGCTAAGCTTGACTGTCTGCAGACGTGTTCGTCCGCAGCTGTCCTTATTCAACCATCATGGAATATTCTTTTCACTTTTTGCATCCTTTTCGCCATTTACGTCTCAGCGAGCATCATTCTAGATATGGTGACGTTATTCGACCTGGTGATGAAATTCTTTCCATTAATAATGTCGAAGTGTCGTCGATGTCGATCGACGATGTTGTTCTCATATTGAGTATACCTAGGAGGCTTTTGTTGCGGATACGGTACGTCCTTTTCTTCTTTTTCTTTACTTTTTTCTTCGCTACAATTTCTTTACTGATTATCTATCGCTCAATAGCTTTTTTCAAATCAGTTGCTAGGTAAGGGATATCTAGTCTAATGAATTGACGGACCCGAGTAAACTTTTCGAATTAGATAAAATAAACGTTGATTTTTGCATGTGCCTTACTCAGCGCTCCCGAATTTTCCCTGTTTTTGAGGTTTCGACTGTTACACTTTTTCAGATACATCAAGAATCGCCGTGATCAAGCGTCTACGACGCGGTCATCTGAGCGGCCGGTCGTCGTTTTTCATAAGGTACCTTTACATTTTTATCCGATTTCCTGGTATCTTTGGACACTGCAGTGACAGCTATTGCGTTTCCTAAATGTTTTTCGTAAAGCCCATCATGTTTTGCTCTGCCAGTTAATTAAAGCCTATACTACCAAACGGCTGGTTCCTATGTCGCCGAAAGACGAGACATGGTTTTTGTTATAGAGGCGCTCAGATTTCATTTTATTTGCGTCAGGCTTTGCTACAATGCTGATCGTGTTTCTGAGGCAAGCGTGATTTTTTAGTCGTTTGCATGATCTTTGGAACATTGTAAAGGTCCCATGTTGGCAGATCAAACTTAGCGACCAATAAGTTGGGTAAAATATCGTGGAATGGTGGTTTTAATGAGTCACTGCAGTAAATTTTAGTAGAATTGGATTCAAATTTGTATTCTATCTTCTTTCGCGCCAGTTATAAGCCTTTTCAGTCCTGCTGTCCATATTTCCAGAATTCGGAGTAAGAATATCGCAACATGTCAAAGAAAGTATATTCATGACTGTTCTTCCAGATTTTTCTTCCGACATCAAGCATTAGATCCGCGTTTTACATCTTTTATTTATCAAGTGAGATCGTATGCCTCTAAGACGGTGTAATTTTTACGAGAATGACTTTCTAAGGCCAGTAGATCACAAACAAATTACACAACTTCAGTGAATTTTGAAGGTATGGGAGATTAGGCGATGTGTTCAGTGCTACCTTCATCTATTATAGAACATAAAAGAATCATTAATGTGACCTAGTGGTAACCAAGATGGTGACCCTGCACAAAAGCTAGAATTTATAGTTTGAAGAACGATCGGACGAATCAGCAAGTGGCTCAATACTTACTCAACCTACACCGACGGCGCATACTTGGCTTGGCAAAAAGGCGCGACAGCAACAGCAGGTGGACCAATTTTTTGTTTACTTTTTGTTTCATCATCCTTGTTTGAAATTCTTACACATCATTTTTTTGGCGATAAAATAGTTTTTCGTTCACTCTCCATCCCTACTTACCCTGAACGAAATAGCTACTTTTTTATTGTTATTTCTTTATTATTTCTTCATTTAGCTTTGCTTACATGCTTCTTGGATTAGAATTTCCGCTTTATTGCATTCTAATGGGGCCTGAAACAATGTGTATTATTTGCCTATAGATTCGGCAAAGTCCCTGGATTCTCTGCTTAGCTTAGACCTTGTTTGTCTTCTGTTATTTCTTGAATCCATCTTTTCGGATTGATAATTAAAAGAAGTTACCAAAGATTTGCTTAATATTTTCTTTTCTTTCTTTTTTTTAAGCTCCTGAGCACCTATGTATGTTGTTGTGATCTTATTGTCTTTCATGATCATTAATTTCGCAGGCTTACACTCTCTTACGGGTACCTCATTTACGTATAGGTAATGGTGCATCCTTTAAACAAACTCTTTAATCTTTTCTTGTAAAGATTATTTGCTTATCTTACTCTATCGGTGCTTACACGTCTCTAGCAAAAACTCATCTAAATTAATGTGTAACCAAGCAACCCGATTAGAACCCTGCCTAGATAAAGGTTACATGTCATGCGAAAATAACGTTACGGCATGTGAGCCGTAAGTGTTTTTTTTTGTATCTGCTTTTTGTTGTAATCAGAGATCTCATCTGTTTCTCTTTCACACTCCCGTTATGAAGGTCATCTGATGATGGAAAAGAATTTAGCTCATTTGATTACTCGTGAGTAGCTGCCGTGTAATTTTTCGCTACGTGAAGTCGACCTTCTGCAAAACAATCCATTAAAGCCTGCAAGTTTTTTTGAGTTCAGGAGTTCCTTCTTAAAAATCATCCCATAAGGTTTCGCATCTCTGACATAAAACGTTTTTTTGTTTTTTGCCTTTTAAGATAAGAAAGCTGTATGTCCTCTAGACTCAATTCCGCTTCATCACTTCAGTTTCCATCTTCTTCATGCTTTTACATTTCGTCCTGAAACTTTTTCCAAATTAATCCATAATCTGATGAATATTGTCGCCACATATATTCGGAAGTAGATTGGAACAAAGACTATGCATCATATTGAAGCGTTTATTGGCTTTTCCTTTGAACAACGCTATTTGATTTTTTCATATCACTCTGGAACAAAAATTGAAATTGTAAATTCTTACTATTTATAAACATATCCTATAAGGCTGAACGAAATTCATTTGCATCGTTTTGGAATTTATGTAACTCCCTTCCATTTGCATGGTTTTGCTCAGCGTCAGTTTTATATGAAGAAAACATCATATGCCCTTTTTGGTAGCTTGAAAACTTTATTTTGCGCACATTGCGGGTAAAAATTGAAGAATGAAAACAATGGCGACCATTTGTTATTATGCTTTTGAAAAATCCAAAAATATTTCAACGAAATGCAAAATATGAAGCTCAACTCTAAGAAGAACTCTACTTTTTTGAGAAAAAAATTTGAAGATATATTTGCCATGCGACCACGTTTCATTCTACATTCTCCAAGATCATAACTTTTCAAAGAAACGTTTGATCAGCACGAACTTTGTCCTCTTAAAAAGGAGTATAGGATTTGTGCCATTGGCTGTTTCGAATTTTACTTCAATGTTTTCAAGATTTTTGACAAGCTTGCTTAAAATCGTCAAAATCGGTTTTTTTTTTCGATTCTTCTCCCCACAACCTGCACATTGTAAAGCTTTTAAGGTGCTTATAGGAACTGCATGGCTTCTTCAGCAAAACTAGCGGTAAGCAAAATTATGCCTGCCATCAAACTTTTGCATTAAATCATACAACCGAAGTTTTCTTAGTTAGCGGAAGTGGTAAATCTGTATTGCTGACAATGTTGGATTTTTGTGGACATTTTGTATTTCTTCCGATCCAGTTTGAAATTTCTCATCCAGTGTTTTTCTTGAGAATGTAGTTATGCATTGCTCCAAGCATCAGCACTAAGTGCGTGATTTCATTTTTGTTGCATTGATTGGAAGAGTCGTTGAAGATGAAGGGCATTACAAACCCGGAAAGAAATCAGGTTCGAGAATTTCGTGCTAGCCTAATAATCCTCAGACACTTGTCTCTCATCTCTAAGTTGCTGATTTCTAAAGGCGGAAAGCGAGCTACATCTCTGTGTCCGTTGATGGATTGCTTTCTGCGGTTTGCTGGAAATAGCTGATGCCGTCGTTCCTCATTCGGCGACTTACGTAAAAGGGCTTTTTTCTCAGTCGTTGACTTGAGAGCGGAAACTTTCTTTCAGCGAGACGTTCTTTTGTTTCAAGCCAAAGCCGCTTCCTCGTAAATAAATCGCTTTTCTTGTTTCCGAGAAAAATGAGAAAAGAATTTCGGTCTTTTGGTACGTGCGATACATCTATTTCCTCTCTTTTTTATGAAAAAATGTTTTACGTCCCGATTTTCACTGCTATCGCTGATTTTGTTCCCGGGAAAGCTTAGTTGCTTCAAAAGCCCTCCACCAATATTGTATGTCAAAAGGCGTTAATTTTATTGCCAGATGGACACCAATTAGCACATTTTTCATGTTTAATATCTTTGTGGAAGGTTTTCAAATTTCTCAGGAAATGTAGGAGATCGTTGCATGAACTGTTCAAGCTTAATATTTCGAAACAGATTTTAAACATCATTGATGGGGATCAAAAACCCGTGAAAATGCAACTAATGGCAACTTTGTGAATATTTTGATCTCCAATATAACAATTCTAATTTGGGCTTCAATTTAAGAGTCATCGAAAATCCGCCGTCTATTATTCTCAACGATAGCAAAATCCTGCACTTGTTTCGGACCACCCAAGTTGATAGGCGGGGCGGGGCAGCCACCCCCGCTTCTACAGTCTGAAGAAATTTTCTTACTTTCAACTTTACTTTCTACAGCGAGGCTAAGGCGATCACTCATGTCACTTAGTCAGGGGCCCCTCTATCGTACCGTGAAAAATTTTTACCGCCCTCAATATGGGACGTTGCCTTCAAAGCTTTCATTTGAGATTACTTATGTAATTACGGTTACTTGCATCTAGCCTGTGTTCCGTAGGCTACAACCCCATTACGAGCTTCTGGTCGCAATAAGAGCCCATTTATGGGCTACCCATGTTTTGTTAAGAAGCTGACAACCAGACCTTTGAATGACATACGATGGAGCCAAGACGACATGTTATGGAAAATGTTGACAGCGCTTATGTTCTGTTCATTTTCCTTTCTCCATATTCGACATGACAAGAACACCTGCGCGCGAGGTTTTCGTTGTTAGAGATAAAAGCTGGGGTGAAATACCGAGAGATCTTTTGTTAGGGACGAGAGCATAAATCAAATTTTTGGGTAAATTTAACTATTAATAAATTTTTGATGATGCTAGCGAACTATTTTTTGTTGATCAAGTATTCTTGGTACGTCCTACTTTTCAGTTGGACACAACTCATACATTACCTTGTCCCTACTGAATTTACAGTCAGTTCTTGGTCATTTTTTGGCTATTATGAGTTCTTCTGAGGGGCACCCCCCCCCTCCTTTTCTTTTCTGTTGCTATGAGTATCCTAATTGAGAGTTACTTTCAATCCTTGAAAATGGAGGCTCTGTAAATCTTTCTTTTCATCGATCTTCAATGTAAAATTAAGAACAATTTTGTAGGTTTTGCATCCATCTCGGTATTTTGATTTTTTTGCTCATAATATTTTTGTCCTGTATATTTGCATGACGGAGGATTCTTTGGAAAGCAGAGATCGAATTGTTTGATTGCATTGCATGCTCTGTTTGCTGTTTTTCTTTCTTTCTGATATCAATCTCTCAAGTTTTTTTCAAAGACGCATGCATTTAAGTATGAATTTTCTCCTTAGTTCCCCGTTTTTGTTTGGTGTGTCCCTAACTCGTTTCGATTTTCCTCAGGCGGTGTTTTCTGAAGTTTTTGTCAAGTATCTCCGGCAAGCGCTTGCATGACGAATTGAAAATGAATTTTCAAGGGTTTAGCACCGACAATGTCATTTTGCAGCTTTTCATAGAAGTGAAAGGAAAAATGGGGTCGGAATGGGTGAGATATGCTTTCCGGTCCCAGAATTATGAAGACTATTCCGCTTATTCTTCCTGGTTTTGCTTTTCTGCTCCAACTTTCTTGGTCATATGACTGCAATTTCATACTAATGGGCATTGGAATAACTCAAGCGCAGCAAGTATATAAGCCTAATCACCTTTATAGGGGAGTCCATGCAATAGTTTTCTCTTCCTTATGTCTCCTTCTTTGTGGCAAATCTACCGCACCTCTTCAGCCCTGGGATGGTTAGCAGACAGGATTTGTTTTGCTATCAACAACATAAAAGTAGCTATTAGTAAGCACTATGCGATTCTTCATAAAGTACTAGACAAACAGCTTTTGGCTTAGGTAGGTGGGGAGAGAGGGAAGGAGAAAAAGGGGGAAGACTCTACAACTGATACAACTCGGAATGAAGAAACATCCCGAGATGTAGTAGTCGTATTTGTCTCGATAAGGGAAAAGGTGTCTGGGGAGAGTCGGGGCGGTTTTATAAAGACGAAACCACATTCATCTATATTCATGCATTGGTTTTCGTGAATTATCAATTCTTTTCACAATTTATAAAGCTTTCCTTCATCCAACATTTTTCTTGACTGTGTTCTCAAACTTGGATTTTCTAAGGCTTACGTTTCGAAGAGATTATTCCACCATTTGGCAAGATTATCACTTTTATGATCTCTAGAATTTGTGCAGCTCAGTTTTGCATTGCTTTTCTGTTAATCTTCCGATAAACATATTCCTTGCATGAAGTGGTCATGAGTTTTTTGTTCCTCCCCCCCCCCCCCTTCATTCAGCGTCAATTTCAGAGTCAGAAAAGAAAGTAATTTCCAGTTCGCACGTCGTTGAATATTGTCTACTTTTGAAATATGTTCCAAATGTTAGCCTTCACCTTCCAAAATAAGGT